TTCTAATTAAGTTTTTAAGGCCTCATTACATAGTATGCGAGGTGTCTTGAATACTTGTTACAATTTCCTAGACTAAATGACATGCATTTAGAATCGTGCGAGTTAGCTATTGCCTTAAACGGTGTTTAAGTCATTCTGGTTCGATATTGTACTTGATCTTGCAGAGCTACTTCACCGTATGCCTTCTACCATAGCATTAATCAAACATACCTCTTAGCGTTTAAAAATGACGCCTTTTGACGGGCGTCCATTCAAAAAGGTTAAAATTAGCACATTTCCCACCTTTAATACTTACAAGTTTGTAACAAAATCTATCTTAGGCAAAGAAAGTAGACCTATTTGCATGACATACCTAAGCACCCCCGTAATGGGAGGCCTGCCTTGGAGGAACTTGGAGGCAAGAGGAAGGAGTGCTGGAACCTAGGCTACTCTGGCGCTTAATTTGTTCTCCAATTGCGTAGGCTGGTAAGTCTTTTTAATTGTCAGCATCCCAACCAGACATTTAAACTGACGTTGTGAAGGCTGAAATAGACCAAAGCGGACCCTCAATTAGGCAGATAACAGAGTTGACAATCCGCGTTAAGCCAAGTAATTGTCTTATTTACTCGTCAATGAGGTGTAAATACTGCCTGGATAAGATTCCTCACATTATTAAAGAGGTAGATATTGTAAATCCAATTTCGATCAAACATTCTGGGTTTTCTTAATGTACCACTTGTTTGAAATAGCATTTTAACCCCATGTTCAATCTTCAAACAATTGCTTTTCTAGAGCCCCAACTTATAAGGAAAAATTAACACAAATAAATAAAATATCTTTTTTTGCATTCAGTGTAAAATTTACAAAGGCCATCATTTAGTGAATGACTGGCCACAGAGTTCTGAAATTAAGAAAATCACAGCATTAATTGTTGGGAGGAAACAAGAGCGCAGCCGATGGAGGTGAACAGTGCTGAAAGTCTCTCCAACGCCGATAAATCATAGCACCTACGTGAAGATCTTCTGCTGGAATAGGACTGGTAGCACTGTGATATTTGTTATCCAAGCGGAAAGAGACACGGAATCGTTCCACCTGACCGAGAAAATGGAAACTTGGACCAATAGCGGAGCGAAGGTGGTTAACTAATGCGAAGGCCTCTAACACGGTGAGTGAGGAATGCGCCACGAGGTAGGCGAGTACCAAACTTGGTGATCGCGACACTCCCGCCTGACAGTGCACCAGCACCCGTCCGCCCGATCGCATTGCCTCATCTGTAAACAAGGGTAAGCCCTCAATTTTTTTACTGCATTCCACCTTTTCTTGTTTTTCATCATCAAACGATCCAGCACACCAACTTGTGCTATGCTCTTCACCTTTACTCCATAGGGCAGAAGTCATAAGTGTCAGACCAGGGCGCCTTCAATCGCGTGCAAGGCATCACACATGCGTCTAACCGCATTACTAGCGCGGTTCACGTGACAGCAATGAAAAAATATTCAGGCAACATTCCCCAAAGTCAGAATTTAATAGGTAATCCCGTGATTTTTGGTTCAGCTATTTGTGCATGCTCTTAATTTCGGCATGATCATGCAGAAATGCAATCAATTGCATTGAAAACACTTTCACAGACCCTTCCTCGCAGTCGAACTTCGATTTCAGCAAATATTTTTGCAAATTGGGTGTGGCTGAATTC